AGTAAAGGTTTAACTACAGCCAGCTTGAAGGCCTGTGGTACATAGCCGATCATTAGAGATAGGTTGACAGGATGAGCTCATACTGTTTAGGTGGTGCTGATTGGCTGTTGTTTCCCTCATCACTTCCTGTTGAAGGAGTTGGTTGTGGCTGTGTTTCTCTTTCTGTTTAGCGAGCTCCACCTGCACCGCCGACAGACACCTGGCACACACACACACACACACACACGGTTTAAAGTGTTTCTACAAATCACATGTCTCCGAGCACTCAGAGTACCTGTCAGCGTGCTTCCGCCTGGCCTCCAGGTGTTTACATTGCTCTTGCAGGCTCCTCCTCTCTTCCCTCCTCCTGCTTAGCTCCTCCTGCACCTCCTGCACATAAACCATAGACCATCATGAGCATCCACCCATCGTCTGACCTGTTCAGGGTCAGCTGACCCAGTGTGAGGTATCAGCTCCTCTTCCTCCTCACACATCAGCACACTATGGTGCTCCCTGACCTGCAGCTCTGTTTGCTGCCGGCTTTTCTCTCGGAGACACGACTCGGCCTCTGTCCTGCGGGACTCCACTTTCTGCGTCAGCTCGGCAAGCTCCTCCCTCTTCCTGTCCACCACGCCCTCCAGCTCGTGCTGCTCATCCCTCGCTCCCTCCACCTCGTCCCTCTTCAGCTGATTGGTTTAAAGAGTCACATGGTCACTCACTTCCTGATCTCAAAACAAAAAGCACAAATATTCAAAATAAAGCAGAGCGACTGTTTTTCTGTTATAACCCGGGATCCTCCGTCAGCCGCGCCGGCCCATCTCCATCAGGACGGGGTCCAAGCTCTGGGACAGGTACAGGTGTGACCTCACCTGAGTGCTGAGAGAGTCCAGATGCCCCTGAGCCTCCACACAGTCAGACAGCAAGTCAGCGAGTCTGCACACACACACACAGCTGAAGTTTATATGGAGACACCTGACAAAATACAACAGCCACCTCTTCACAGTAAAAACTTCCTGTCTCCTTCACAGTAAAAGCCTCCTTACGTGTCTCTGGCTGTTTGTATTTCCCTGTCGAGCTGTTGGAGCTCCTCCTCTCTGCTCCTCAGTTCCTCCTCCACCTGCCTGAGCATCTGCTCTTCCTCCTCCCTCATCCTCCTCAGCTGCTCCACCTCTTCCTGCAGCTCCCTGTGTGATGAAGATGGTGGCGATGATGAAAATATCCACCCTGATCTCTGAGGTCATGGTTGGAGCCAGGACACTTTACCTGGCACGCTGTTTGTCCTCCCCTCTGAGCCGCAGCGCAGCGGCGTCTCGCTGAGCTTCGCTGGCCTGGAGGACACACGAGGACGGAGCGGGAAGGGTCGAGGTTAGAGCGGCGAGCGCGTCATCAGTTATTAAAGAAACTGATCCAAGCTCATGTTTTTCTCTCCTTTTAGTCGTTTTGGTGATTGACCATAAAATTATTAATGAAAAGTTTTGTCAATAAAACTGATGTAAAAAGATTCAGTCTCAGGGTGACGAGATGCTGAGCCTGGATCTGCTGGACGTTTCCTCCTGTTAAAAGGAGTTCGTCCTCCCCACAGTCACCAAGTGCTGCTCACAGTGAATCGTGTGATTGTTGAGCTTTTCTGTAACATTGTGGGTTCGCCAGAGTATAACACACCACTGTGTGTGTGTGTGTGTGTGTGTGTATACCTGGACTCTGCTGGTGTGTATGCAGCTCTGAGCCTCCAGCAGTTTCCTGTCAGCCTCTCGCAGCTCCGCTCGTCTCTTCAGCAGAGTTTTCTCCACACACTCCACCTCATCACACAGCTTCATGACACTCCTGCGCGCACACACACGCACACGCACGCACGCACACACACACACACACACACACACACACACACACA